CTGTCTTAACATATCTACTCAGCCATAAAGTAAACTATACATATGGTTTCTCTCTCCCAAATCGACACTCACAGTTATGACATGATGATAAAACAGGACAGAGAATGCCTTCCCTGGATTTCTTCAGGGATAAGGTGAAAATCAAACAACTTGCAACCATCCATGGCTGTAGGTACTTATACCCTACTTATCCACAGAAATGGTTTGCAAAGGTTCAAAACTCCCCTACTTCCAATATCTGTTGCAGTGTAATGTATTAGTTAGTACTCTAAACAGCTCTTGCCCTGAATTCAAAATTAAATCTGTCTCTGAGAGCCAGTCCTCAAATATGGGCAGGTCACATATATTACAAATCATTTTAAAGATCTCTAAAATTATCCAGGAAATGTGCATTTTTTTAAAAAATACAGGTTTGATTATTTTTATGCTGTTTTTTATGCTCTTTAGAAGGCCAGATCCTGAAGAGGAAACTCAAAGACTTTGGCCACCTAATGAGAAGGAAGGACTCACTGGAGAAGAGCCTCATGCTGGGAAAGATGGAGGGCAAGAGAAGAAGAAGACGGCAGAGAATGAGGTGGCTGGATGGAGTCACTGAAGCAGTCAACGTGAGCTTGAATGGACTCTGGGGGATGGTAGAGGACAGGAAGGCCTGGAGGAACGTTGCCCATGGGGGCACAATGGGTCGGACATGACTTTGCAGCTAACAACAACACCTGTCCCTGAATTGCAATTGGCATTGGAATAAAGGTTTTGTGTGCTGGGAACCAGGTTGCTGCTTCGTAATCATAATTCTTATAGACTGGGCCCCTGACGTTCTTGAGATGTTGAGCCACAACTCAAAGTGTTACTTTCCCTTGGCTGTGTGCCAAGATAGATTAAATTTAAAACACGGATGGCGAAATCACTTTTCTTAAAGAGTCTTAAGTGCCATAACAACGTACTTCTGAATCGCCCTACTCACTGCATGTGACTTTCATAAGTATCCACAAAATATTTGGTTTCTGCATGAATTTTTCAAATAAAACGTCTCTGGAAATAAGATGTCAAAAAGTCCCCATTTAAATGCTTATCTGTTCTGGAAGGGAAAGGCAGCTTATAAATATTTAAATGCTTACACCTAGGTATAGATGTGTGTGCAGTTTTCTTCCATTTCAAAACAGCCAAATACTTCATGCACAAACTCGTTTGTCTCAACAATACTATATTCTATTTAAAAATATTCTTTTCATTGGGGTTTATCGCCTCCTTTTTCATCTCTATTAATGGAGCGGCCAATATCTGAGAACCGATCTCCGTTTTTTGAAGTGTTTAGGTGAAAAAAAAGCTATTGAATATTGCACTCCTGTAGTGGATAAGACTGGAAGATATCTTATTCATTCAAGATGCATAATTCACGGAAGGCTGTTGGCATTTAGTGATAAATTCTTGTTCTTGAATTCTTACTGAGAATACTGTATTTTTTTTCCTTTGTAGAAGAAATTCTTTTGTTGCAGTAAACTGTAAGAAATGGAATTGTTGGTTATTTAAATGTTAAAGAAGAACAGAAAAAGCAGAATTTTCTGTTCTCCGATAGGACTGATTAGATCCCACTGTCAAGTGATCTAACTGCGAGTCTTACGTGAAAGTCGATTTTTTTTTTTTACTGCCCTTGGTTCTTTTTTGTAATGGGAAAAAATAGAACATAATATCCCACGGTTGGAAGAGATCTCGGAGTTCTTCTAGCCACCCACACAATCATTCCACCTTTTTTTGAGGTGGTTGTTGTTAGCTCCCCATTGTTAGAGTGAATGCATTCAGAGAAGCGTTGTGAGAGTTGTGTTGGAGAACACACAAACCAGCATACAGAGACACTGCAGTTTAA